ATTCCTACAGATACACAAAGCATCCAAGTTGCCTGATGTGTTTTTCATTCTTCCTTTTGGGACTTTGTGTGTGGATATATGAGGGTGCACAAACACTGCTCCCATGTGAAGTCCTGCTCTTTTCCTCCTTGGACTGCAGTGCACTCTCAAACAGGCTTTTGATGGTAATCACTCCAGTTGCAGTACCAAGGTGCTGGTGTTGCACACCCTTCTCCCAGGTTCAGGTCCTCCTTGTAGACCTCCTGGATGTTCATAAAAGAGCATAAAACATTGCTGCCATCTGCAAATCTTTCAATGCTCTAATGATACCCTGCTGCCTGTCCTCCTGTAGACACTGTTCATCCTTGAGAGGAAGGCTTGAAAACCAAACCATGAAATGGACTGTGGATTGGAGTGAATATGGAATTAGCCTTGGGCATTCTGAAGGTAGCTGACATTCTGTTTATCAAGAAGTGGAATGGCTCAGAAACTCCAAATTTAGGGTTGTCTTCTCACCTTGGTTAGTTTACAGAACATGCAACTTGTTCTGTCTTTGCTTTGTATAGCTTAAGCCAGAGAGTAAAAGTCCTTTTGCCTGGAGGTTTTTTCCTTGCTTTTCTCTTCCTCCACAGTACAACTCCCTTTCAAAGGGAGATTCCTGTAACAGAGACACTGCTGCACTTTTAAAAGTGATGCAGCCAAAGGTTTTCAGTCCACTGTACTATAACCAGTGCTCTGTACCTTGTCTTTTACTTTCTGCATCTGGTATGCCAACTACTCTGCACTAAAACTGTCTGATAGTTATTTGTTAGTAAGAATTACTTGCTACTTATTTAACAACAGTTATTTTTTAGTAAGAGTCCTGTAGAGTTATCAGTGGCAAGGTGAGAAGCCGAGAGGAATAACACAGAAGTAGCCACAGAATTTTCACTTAAGCAAAACTACCATTAATTTTGTTGTTGTTTGAGAGTCCTAAGATTGGGCTGTAGGAATTTCAAAATAACTCCTCTGAAACACTTCTGTGGCCTACAACTTACTGGAAATACTTTTTTTTTTTTAAATAAAAATATTTAAAGAAATTGAAAAGCCTAATAAGAAGGGTAGTGGTGTGGCTGGAACTGCCAAGTTTGTTCAGGAGCTGGTGGAAATGGACTGTCCTTTGCTAAGAGAGATCTGGATGCTTATTTTACTCTTGTTTTGGGTGATGTCTGGGACACTTTACAGTGTAAGCAATGCCTTTAATGTAAGCACATGCATCTTCAGTGCCTTCCTTCCGCAGTGGCACAGAGCCACCACCCCGGGGTATCACCTGAGCTTCACTGGGTAGGGAGAGAGGGTCAGAGCACTGTGTGTGCAGATGAGCAGTGCATTGCTGTGGTTACCAGATTGCAGCATTGCTGCCATTTTAACAGCTGGGAAACAAGGCTACTGAGTAATGCTGGACCACAGCAGGTCTGTGACAGTGCCAAGCACAGACCTGAGGTCTGCTGGCTTCCAGATGAGGCCTTGTGCATCCAGCACCTTTTTCTTTGTGCAGTGGAAAGGGCTCTTACTGTAGCTTGTCAGTAATGAGACATATTTACTCTCATTTTCTTTCTGCTGAAATAACTGTAATTGTTCTTATGAATTTTAATGTCTGGTGCTAGTTGGCTGTCTACCAGTTCAGTAACACCATTCAGAGCTGATGGATAATGGATTGTCTTACCAAGAGAAGCAGAAAAGATTCTGGGGCACTTTCTTATTTCTTCCTCTCTTTCTTTTCCCACCCCTCTAACAGGAAAGGCTGAGTCACATTGGACCTGAGGAGTTTGTGCAGGCGTTTGTACATAAAGACCCTCTGGATGGCACCAAGGTATGATTTGTCTGCATGCAAGGTGTCTCCTGCAACCACTCTTTGTTTTGGGTGAACTGATGAGGTGATATCCATAAGAGCAGCGCCTGGAGCACATGTTGACCATGGCCATGCCAACTGATGACCTGTATTCTCCCAGCAAGGATGAGACCTGTTGTAGAGCTTGCGCTGGCAGGTCATTGCCATTCCTTCCTAATGAGAGTATGTCCTAGCCCAAGCCTGGCCAGCACCCTGATGTTCTGATTTTTGGCTTATTCCTCCTAACCTGCTGTGACCAGGGCAGATGGCTGGTGGCTGTACACCACCAGGGAATGTCTGTTCCCAGCGCTGAAGGCACGGAGACTCTGGATGTGATGTAATGCCCTTAGCGTGTGCCCAGGCACCGCAGTAATGAGTCAGTGCGTCATGAATCAACGCACTCTTCTCTTTTTACACAATAGCTTTTAACGCAAAGCACTGCAGGGAGTGGAGTGCCTGATCAGGGCTGCATCCAGAGCCCATGGAAGCCAATTGGTGTCTTCCCACTGATTCCAGTGGAGTTTGAAGCAGCATTTCAATGAGTGCCTCAATAAGGAAAGAGACTTTCTGGCTGGAGAGGGACTGTCAGAAACTTCACATATTGCCAGAAAAGGAGGGTGGAAAAGTCTGCTCTAGAACTGCATTTCGGCTCTCACTGAGCTCATGTGTCAGTGGCAGGATTTCATCATTGGGCGCCGAATGTAACAGGAAGACCTCTGTTTATAGTCCTGCCGAAAGAGCACCAGAATAGCCTGTGATGGCGAAAAAATGGATGGAAGATGAATAAAATCTGCAACATTGGGCTGTTCTCTTATTGGAGTTATGAAGATTCTATAGTTGGTTTTGGGGAGAGTGGAGTGAGCAGAGCTGGTGTTTCAAGTATTCTGAGCATTGATCAGATCCTTTAGGAAGGAACCCCAAGGTAGCCAAGATGTGTCAGAAACATAAAATATCAAACCAGCCACTGAGATTTCAGCAACCTGCTGCAAACATGAGGGATAAGACTGAAAATGAACAGTCATCATTATCTGTATCGAAGTAAAATGAAAGAGGTCAAATGGGGGCACTAAATTTGAGTGAATTTTGGAAGAGTGGGAGGGAGGCAGCAGCAGTGAGTGAAATCAAATTGCATAAAGTCATAGGGGAAGGGATGCTAAGAGGAAGAAGGAAATGTTCAGTAATAAACTAATGTACGCACAACAGCTGTAGCCGTATCTAGAATTTCAACTGTGGAGCCAGCACAGAATACCACAAAGATGTGAACAGAAACTGAGGTTACCAAGTAAACATAAGGAAACATCAGCTAAGGTGGACAGGAAGGATTAGAATGAAAGATGGAGAGCCTGAAAATGATGGTAGGATGGCAAATCCAAGCATATCATCTTGACAGACTATGACAAACTATTTGGCAGTTATGCATGTTCTTCAAATGCAAATCTGAAGACTGAGGTGCTGCCCAGTAACAGTTCTGTGACTTCAGTGAAGTGCATAACAACAGAAAATAACAGGCACAACGCAGGGATGCACCACTCAAGTCCAAGACAATGTCTTCCCCCAGGAGGATCTACTTAGTAAAGCAAAAACTGCTGTAAGATTTTCACACAAGACATGACACTAACAAATTATTGAGCCTCCTGTCAGCAAAGCTGATGAAAGCAGAAGTAGTGTGCAACTTCTCTCCACCCTTTCCCTGACCAGAGGTCCCAGCAATAATGCAGATGAGCCTCCGCAGCAGGGTAAGGTACAGCTGAGGGATCGTGTGGGACCTGGCAGAACATCGTACATAGCAGCACAGACCTTACATGGAGAGACAGATCATTCCCTGACCCATGGAGACCACCCCTGTTAACCACAGGAGTTGGCTCTGCTCCGAATTCCCTCCAGATGGAGATCATATTCAACATCTTTCTTGCGTGAGGGCTTCAAAAGGCTTCACTTATGAATGTTTATCAGCGCTTTGAGTTGCAGATGGAAGATGCTAGAGAGGTGCTAAATATTGTTGCCATTTATAAAGCTTAACCTTTAAAAAGCAGTCTGTTTCAGCTATAACTGTTGTTTCAGCTATAACTGTTGCATATTTTTCACAAGTTCTGTGGTATTAGCTGTGGTTCTTATGCCCTGGCACAGGACAGCAGTGTTGAGATGGAAATACTGTATTCAGAACAAAACCTGTGTCTTGTGTACCTTTTTGCTGTAACAAGGAACAATAACACAGAGCACAAGAAAAGTAACTGCTTGGATATGTTGGGGCTGCTTTGGGTTTCATTTGTTTTGTTTGAAATTTATGTGCTGCTTGCTGTCGTTTACCTTTGAGATGCTTTTAGAATATATTTTTATTGTATACGTAGTCTGCTTTTAAAGCGGCTGGGAATTTCAGGCTTGTTAAGACTTCCTCCATAGCATGCCTCTGATTTCTGTTTCTAAACATGCCTGTGTACAGAATCACAGGTGAATATTTTCTTACCTTGAATTATCTCAAGAATCTTGTTAAGCCCCACATCTTAAGGAGCTTTTGTCACTTGTTAGCTTACATAATATGTGCCATGGCATTGACATTAATGGATCTGTGTTTATGCATTGTGATTTTCTTCTCAGTGTCATGTATTTATGGCAGCTCTGGGAAATGATCATCTTAATAAAACAAAAAATCGGTATTCTCTGATACCCTCTAGTGGTTGTTAATGAATGTTAAAATAAATCATGTAGACTCTAGAGAGCAGTGTGTCCTATTTAGGGCTGGGAAAAGGGCTTGAATTCTCATAATCCCGAGCAGCATCTTCAGGCTGTGTGAACTGCCCTATCACTCCACTGAAGTCAAATTATCTGTAGGTGTCAAAGGACATCAACACGAAGAGTTCAGCCAAGTGTCTGCTCCCACAGCCTGTATCAGTTATGGGAATTTGTTACATTTCATACAAAAAAAAAAAAAGTTAAAAATGTGCTTCTTGTAACGGCTCTTATCAATGAAGTATCTCTGGCATATAAACGACCCGTTCATGAGCAGCCATCAGGACAGAGCTGGTCACTAGAGAGCCCATGATCCTGAAAACTCAGTGAGGGAAATCTTTTTTTTCATAAAGAAGCAACTAGAGCTGTGTTTTCTTTTGCTTATCTCTTGTTCACTACATTACAGCCTCTCCCCTGCAGAAAAGGGCTGTGGGTGATTGCATTTACTGAAGTGAAGGAAGTCCTGCAATCAAAGGCCCAAACTGAGCATGCTGTGGAAGATTCTGCTTGTCTGTCTTTTTCTCATGTCATTGTTGCTGTCTGAATCCTGCAGTGCCCTGGCTGTTCATGTCCCAGTGAGCAAGGGTTAGTGCAGACTGCGCTGGGAAACACTTGCTGCAGGAAAAATGGAGGTGTTTTCTATACACCAGTGTGAATTGTACAGTGTGACCTTGTGCATCTGCCAACCACCCACCTACACTGACTTTGTGAGCGGGTCCCCTTATTCACAGTCTTCCATGCGCATGAGAGCGATGTGACCAAGTAATTACCTTTGTGTGGTATTTATCTTAGCAATCAGGCAGCCAACTGGAACACAATTATGTATCTTTCTGTGCTTTTTTCCTCCCCAGACTTGTTTCAGTGAACAGAAGAAGACGAGTAACCTTGAAGCCTACGTGAAATGGTTCAATAGACTCTGCTATCTTGTAGCAACAGAAATTTGCATGGTAAGTGAAAAGTGTCTGGCATGTTTTACCACATGCCTGAGTTTGAGATCGTACATTAATAAGCAAACCTGGAGATTTATTACTTACGACCTAGCTAAGCGTCTGACAGTAAGTTTTAGTAATATTGTACTCGCAGAAACGACCTGATAAATGACAAACATATTGCAAAACAGAGCTGGCGACACACAAGGGATGCACTGTTCTCTTGATGTAGTAGGAGTACAGTGTGGAATAATGAACCCTGCAGGGAAAAAGAGCGGAAAAAATGCCTTGAATTATCCTGTGAGATTTCTGCTAGAAAAGATTCTAGCGGAGCAATATTTGTTATCTGTCATCCTAAAGCTCTGTTGTGCATGTGAATTCCCATTGCATGGTTCTTTGTCCTGCTGCCCATTACTGTAGCTGTGACTGGTGTTTTTTTAACTTGGTAGTGGTTTTAGTTTGTTTAACTTGGCCACATCAAAATGAAATTCATGTTTTCTCCCTTGAAAAGAGCATGGAAGGACAGAATAGTAATGGTATAAACAGCCTAGATAGCCCATAACTCAAAAGCATTACGCTTTGATGATCATCTTTGGAAAAGGCAGAATTATTTCAATCCAGTTAAAATGTAAATTTAAAATGCAAGCTACCATTTGCCCTGGCCATATTCCTGAAAGGCCAGAAGAGAGGAAGGGGATAAATGCAGTGAAACAGTCTTTCTGGGACAAAGATGCTGCGGTTCCATGGGTGTGAAATCCTGCCCTTAGGAAAGTCTGTGCTGATGTGCCCACTGATTGAGAGGGTCAGCGGGGAGCTAAGGCCCTGCTTCAGGACTGTTTGGGCTGCCTATTCCAGCACTCAGACATCAACTGAGGCAAGCCTGGGAATTGCCATGAATTTCTTGTGTCACTGCAGTGAAAGCTTTGATTTTAGAGGCTGCCACTCACCTGTATCCACTGGATTGCGGGAACAGAATTAGGGCCAGTGACTGATAGCAGATGGCCCAAACTGTGCATGGACCCATGCTATGTATGGAACAAAAGCTGAAGACACCTTCCAACTCTACGTATGCTTATTACAGATATTTGTTTATTTTGATTTGCAGCCTGCAAAAAAGAAACAGCGAGCACAAGTCATCGAATTCTTCATTGACGTTGCCCGAGAGTGCTTTAACATAGGGAATTTTAATTCACTGATGGCAATCATTTGTAAGTACAGCTTCGAACCAGATCTCTCAATGGAGAGAGAGCTGTCACAGATGAAAAAGTAAACCTGACTCTGATCCGTGGTTCTCTTTTTTTCCCTCTCTCATTCATAGCTGGAATGAACATGAGTCCAGTTTCCAGGCTAAAGAAGACCTGGTCAAAAGTGAAAACAGCCAAATTTTTCATACTTGAGGTAAAAAAAAAAAAAGTTTCTGATACACTGCTTGAATTATATTCTGGATTTTTTTGTTTGTGAATTTTCACATTGTTACCTAGTTATGAGATGTTTGCAGACGTGTTTCACAGGTGGAAGGCCAGATTCTGGCTGAAAGTTTCTGAGGTGTAGTGAGGAAGTTGTGAAGCTGCTGATATGTAGAGGGGGATCAGAGCACCCAAATAAACAGGAGGAGGAAAAGAAGAATAAATATCGGCCTATACACAAGCCACATTGTTTCCACTGATGCCAGTTTTGACCATGTTCACAGTGCTGAGTGTAAAGCTCCCAGCTATGCCTAGTAAGCAAGGGCCAAGGTTGGTTTATGTATTGAGGATATCAGGATTTGGCATTTATAAAATGTGCAGTCCTTATTCTTCACATAAAAGTTCAGTAAGCTGTTACGAAAAAAATCAAAGGTACAGACAGCCATGATCTGTAGATCTCTCATTGTACCTGTGGTTTATGGGGCTTTGTGTATACGTGGGTTTTTGAAGATGTAGGCTAGGCTCTGTTCAGGATTTGCTACAACTAAGGGTAAAGTTGTTTGTAGAGGGCCCAGGTCACTTTCTAACCAAAGCACTTTCTTTTCTGTATCTAGCACCAGATGGACCCTACTGGTAACTTCTATAACTACAGAACAGCATTGCGGGGGGCTGCTCACAGATCCCTCACCGCACACAGCAACAGGGAGAAGGTAGGTGTGACCACCTCTCACTTATCTCCAAATGGATGGTGTGCTGTGCTGCTGAGAGTCGGCGGCTCAAAGACTTGATGTAAATGTTCTTCACCCTTCTGTGGGTCACCAGGTTCGTGGACTGTTAAATGCAATTGGAAATGTAAATCTGTGGCTGAAAGGAGTCTGAAATAGATCACAAGGCTTTTGTGGACTTGCTGTCAGACACTGGGGAGCTAGAAGAGGGCAGGACACACAGAATGGAGGACTTTGTTACAAGCATCTCTGTATCCCTGGAAAATTCACGCTGTTTAGACTGATAAACTTGAAACAGGTATTCCAGACTAAAATGACTTTCATTTAGGTATCAGCCAAATAGGCCGGGGTGGAGCTGTTACAGCCAAGCCAGCCAGGCCTCTGTGCAGACAAGCCCCGATTGTGCCGCATGAGATGGAGAGCAAAGGGCACAGCGCTCGGAGATAAGGTGGTTCTCCATTTACCTTAGGGACAGATAATTTACCACAAACCCTGCAAAGAAGTCTAGTCTGAATCCACTGCAGCAAATCTGGGGTGAAATTCTGTCCTTGTGAATTTTCATTTCATTTGGTTGTTGCTGCCATCTCGGCGAGCAAGAATTGAAGTGTTTTATTCGTGTTCATGGCAGATACATAGCTTTCTGAGATGTCAGTGATGCTGCAAAAATCAGATTGACAAGAGGTTAGTGCAGGATCCTCCTGTTTTGTGCCTCAGTGTGCTTCTTAATTTTTCTTATTTCTCCGTTCAATTCTCTTTATTTTGTTTTATGAAAGAGGGTTCATTTTTAACATTGTGATTGCACATAGTCTTAAATAGGTAATTTCTGCACAGTGCATGGCTAAGGTAAACTAGGTACTGCATAAACAAACATAATACGGAATTTAGTATTCATTCACTAGAGGAGCCAGGCGAGATGCTAATCTCACATCCCCATAAATTTGATGTAAATCTGCGGAAGCTAATGGAATCTCACAGCATTTACAGTGAAATGAGATGAGCATCTGGTTGCAGGCTGACTCAGCTGCAATGGAAGTATGCTGAGTTGTTCTGAAAAGCTCTTCTTTATGCAGAGGAGAGACGATGGCTTTGTATGTTTGTGACTGGCAGAGAAATTCTTTTACATCTTTCACACCGCAGCGAGTATCTGTCAGTCTGAGATGCTGCTGCAGTTTAGTTCTTCTGCAACCGTTGTATACATTCAAGCCAGTTGCTTTATTGTTTGACTTAATTTCCTGTGGAAGTTGGCAATCTCTGTCATACCTCAACCCCTAGCTGGTTAAGACTGAGGCCAGAGAGGTTATTAGATTGAAAGGAATCTGTTTTACATAAGAAAAAGCTCATATTCTGTTTCCCTTGTATAGATAACATTAGTTCAAGGAAATGCTCAAGCATATGATCTGGTAGCTACTCACACTGGGTATTTTAGTGTCAGACACAGCAGATCATGTCATTTTTGCTGTAGGAATTAAAAGATTTTGTTTCTTTTGTTTAAGCAAGATTATTAGTTATTTATTTTAATGAGTTTGAATAAAAATGAAAGAACAGGATCACTTTTTGATAGAAGACATCTTGTTTCTTGGCAAACTTGTGGCAGACCTTGTTTATCTTCAAATTGAATTGTGCTTGAAGAGTTTGAGATCCTAATCCCCTCTGCCCCTCTTCTGGACAAGTGACCACCCCGAAAGCGCAGATGGAGGCCTCAGTCCATCTGCTTGAGAAGGAAGGTGCTCCGGAGGGAGCACTGACCAGCAGGCTAAGCACTGGGTTACATCTCGCAGGAAGAAAAGCTGCCTGTAGGCTCATGGAGCTAAAATGTAACTGGCAGCCTCACCAGAAACTTCAGTTTCCTCTCCTTAGGGCTGGTGTCCTGGCTGCTAGGTTTTGAACAGTTCTTGAATAGAAGCACAGCACAGGGGCTAAATTATACCCTCCGAGGGAGACAGGGTGCACCAGTGACCTGGGGCACCCCCCTCCTGCTCTGTGCAGACATCTCACCCAAATTCCCCATGTGACACTGGCCTCCTGTCACAAAGAGCACTGCCTGATGGCATAATTCTCTGTGTCCTCATCCTCAAGGTGCTCGTGCGAGACTGCAGCACAGGTTGTAGGAGGAGGATCTCAGTATTCCCATGGAGGATCCCCTGACCTTGGTCCTTACTGTTCTAATCCAGCCCTTCTCTCAGTGTGTAAATGGCATAGTTGTAACTACTCGTTTCTGGTTCAGGAGCAGGCTTGTAAAAAGGCACGGCAAGGCAGCTCTCAAAGTTGAGAGATGCAATACAGCAGCAGAAATAAACCCACCAAAGTGCAGGGTGAGAGAACTGGTAATGCAGAAGGGCTGATGTTTCATGCAGAATTCAGAGGGGGCTGCTTTTTAGGAGCCAAGTCTGGTTTTATCTGTGCAGTCAGCTGACCTGTGCCATCTCCAAAATTAAGTCATTCCACTGGGAATCCCTGCATTGTGCTAATGACATTTCTCTGGCTTTGAAATGTTGGGAGTATGTACAGTGCGGGTCTCTGTTGTTGCCGCCTGATCCTATGGAGGAAGGACACGTCTGATCTCATTAGCTTTCTTCTTTCTGCAGGAGGCAATTGTCCTTCAGCATGTGGGTGGGTTGGATGGCACGGGGGGAATCAAAAGGGAGTGAAATAAGAGTTTCTGGCACTAACCCAGATTTTGTGCTAGCAAAGGGCCTGGATTGAAGCCAAAGTTAGTGTAGCTATATCCACTTTTGTTGTTTTTCCTACAGAAATCTGAAAAACAAAGGATAGAGTATTTTTATTGAGGAAATAAATGGTGACCCAAAGACAGACATTCCCTGGAAATGTGTAGAAAATTGGTATCGTGGGGTATGTCTTTGACACCTTTTGGATGCAGATGAGAACAAGCTCTACCCACGCTCTGAGCTGACTGGTGGTTTGTAGCTGTATTAACATGGCATTGAGCCCACATTCATAGACCTTCCCTCCCAGCAAGGCTTTTAGTTTATGTTTAGTACCACTAATGATGGTGACCCAGCTCCCAAGCAGCACGGACCAAGGCAGAACAAGCTCACATCTGCCTGCAAAAAATATGCAGCCAGAACCTGGCAGTAATTTGTAGCTGGGGATCAGTATCTGGCTCTGCATCTTTCCACCCTATAAGACCACGCTGGTTACAGAGCTGCCATCGTTTTGCATAGAAAACAAACTACATAGACAGAATTGTATTCTTTACCTCAGGTTGACTGATCTAGTTTGCATGATATAAAAATGAATCCTGAAAGACACTTAGCTCAGTTTTATTAGAAATTGCTTCACCTCACCCTGATAGGGGGGCTCAGCATTTTGGGGGTTAGGCTGTGCTTTGTTTCCATTCTTACATCTGTGGGATGTGTCAGGATAGTGTCAGTGCAAGCTTTTTTATAGCTAATTGCACTGACATTACAGAGTTTATCTGTGCCTGTCTCATTAAAAAAGCCAGCAGAAATGCAGATCTTCAGCAGTTTACTGCATGTGGTGTTTTAGCTGAAACTGAAATTGGCTTCTGTTTCCCTAACAAGAGTTGGTAGTGGCTGGTAGACTCTTTGCCTCAGTAAATGCTTTCACATCTATGACTTGCTCACGCTCACTGTTGCATCGTGAAGGCTGTAGACTAGAAAATAACAGCTGCCATCCTGTTCTAGGTCCATTTCATATCCCATTACAGTTGATGTGCAAGCATGAGATGCAATAACAGTGCGACATTAAATACTTAACTAAAAGATTGCTTTGTTGTCACCAGCTCCCTTGGCTGGTCCTGTGCACCATGAAGGCACTTTAACTTTGGTACATGCTTAACAAGCTACAGCTGAGTTAATTTACAAATAGGCCAGTGGAAGCATTTGGACACTACCATGCGATGTGCTTTACTTTAAGTTCATGGTGATTAACTTTATGGTTAGTGGATTAAAAGCCAGGTATTGCTGCCACAGGAGAATGCTCTCAGAGGTGGCTGCTGACTTTATAACTCAAACCCTCCAAGTGGCCTTGTTCTATCACAGTGCTAGTGCTGGAGAGGTGGGGAGACTCAGATTTGAATATCAAATCCCAGAGCCCTGGGGGTCAGCTTTGTCATGGGCTCGTCCTTTGTGTTATCTTTGAGTTGTGACACGAGAGAACCTGCTGA